TTTTTTTTTTAATTACATCTTATATTATTTATTTGCTCCGAAGCCTAATTGTATAGGCTCATAGAAGCTATTCAGTCTTATTTTATTCTAATTCTGATTGTTTTAATCAATTCTTAATTGTTATTATTATTATTTTGTATATTATAATTATTATAATTAATGAAATAAAACAAAATATTTTATTTTTATTTTAAATTAACTTTTATTTACCTTTCCTCCAATTTTATAAGAAGTGTTTAATGAAATAGTTTTAATTATAATTGAGATTTATTAATATAGCAGTAATTTATAACAAAATAAAAATTAATTATCAATCACATTTTTCATTTAATTTCAACTATTTACATGGATTATTTGTAAAAAAAACACTTAGATTCGTTAATGTAGTAATAATTTTTGACAAATTTTTGTTAGTAAATTATTTACTAAAGCATAGAATAAAATTTGTCTCCTTTTTTTTACAACAACAATATTTATATTGTGGAGTTTCTATTTATGAATGTAGACGTAATTCATAAACTATTAGTTTCATAACGTTTCAGTTGATTATTTACTAATACAATATCTTTTTGAAATGCAATTAAAGTTGATTACTGTATTTTTTTTTACATTCATGACGAATTCGCTTTGCATGAATGTAACAAGAGTGACGATGTTGTAACTGTAGTTTCCACTGCATTGAATGGGTTTCAAGTGAGCAATTTAGAAGCCAGGAATCCCCCTATTAACAAGTTCATTGATTATTGCAAATGTTATGCGCTTTGCAGACGACACGAACGAAATTTAAAGCGGAATCATTAGCATTCTGTTTATATCCAAAGTCCAAAACTAAATTTATTAGTTCCATATTTAAAAAAAAATAAAAATTTTCTTTATTTATGTAATTAATTAAGAAATATTCATAAATAAGTAATTAATAATTTATTTAAAACATTGCACATAAGGAACGATAAAATAAAAACTGGGATGAGAAATTTGGAATTGAAAGTTTTGTGAGAATCATTGACCCGGATATGGACACATTTTGTGGAAAGTACTCTCATTTGATGCTTCAATCTAGTAAACAATTCAAAATGTAATATTAAGTGCATAGCTATGTATAATTAACAATTTCAAGACATGCAACCAAATTTACTACAAATATTAAATATATATACATCAAATATTATCATTTTATTTTATTTTTTTACAAAATAAAGATAGAAATTATATTTTCTTAATAATTCTCAGTTGCTTTTTATAATTATATAGAATTTTAGTTGTAAATAATCATATTTTTTAACATAGATGCTAGAATCACAACATTTTTTGTTGAATTACGTAATTATCCAGACTGGTTTTACTAAAAAAAATATATAAAGTAAAAGTGGTGTATTTTCAGCAAACAGCTGTCAATGTGACTTTAATATCCGTATATTCAAGATCAAAATCAATGTACAACATTCTTTTGGGAATTGATGGTTGAAAAAGTACAGGCGATTTTTGAAAGCACTATTGTTCCATTTATCATTTGTGAAATGCTATTAACAAACTAATTAATTATGAAGAATCCATTGCAGCTACAAACCTACATATACTCTTATTTTTATCTCTACATATTCAAGATCAATATCCATGCCCAAAATTCTTCTTGGTTGAGAAAATACAGGTCATTTCCAAAGATTCACACATATGCATATTTACCCAAGCCTTGTATATTTGGTTGCCTATAGCAAAGAAAATGTTGAAAAACGAAAAGTTTTAAAACAAAAAAACAGTATTTTCAACACCCTACAAAATTAGAATATTGTCAGTGGGCTTATTCAAAAGGTGAGGGTGTCTATTTTACAATTCTTTCTAAATTTTACAATTATCCTGCGCGGTTATCATAAAGTTAAATAAAACGTGAAGACGCTTTAAACTTTAAACAGATTTGATAGCTCGTGGCAAACGAACGGATAACAGCAGAATTCTGAGACTTTCAGCTTTAATTTAAGAATAAGATGATGTAATTAGCTAGCGGAGTTCTCAAGCACTTCATGAATAACGAAAGACATCGAATATAATCATTTTTTGATTACGTAATGAATATTATATAACTTACATTTTTGATTGCATTTTCACTGCACCTGGCACTCAGGTGTGTTATACTATGTCTAAAGATTATGTAGAAAGCAACAATAGATTGATGGGTGCTACTGTGTCCTCTTGAAAGAAGAAAGACTTTTAGGGTTTTTGTGGGGATTTCATTAAAATTTATATTTTTGATTTTCCGACAGTTTTGCAGCATCCATTACTCAGATGTGTTACGCTATCTCTTAGGATCATGTAGGAGACAATAGTGGATTCATGGATGATTCTATGTCCTCCTGAAACAAGACATATTTTTAGTTTCTTTCTAGGATTTTGATGAAAATTTACATTTTTGATTTTCCTGTATTATCACAGCACCTGGAATTATAATAGACTCTAAGGATTAGGGTGAAATCTACAATTCATCCAATTTGTTAGTTATTATCTTCTACTTAAGTATTGTTTTTAGTCACATTCAGAAGTTAAGGTTTCCACTATTTACAAATGAAAACTAATACTGGTAATAGACAATGCTTTCTCCTCCCTCACTCTTTGGAAGTCAACTACACATGCCTTGAGGAGCTCTCACCTACTCTTAAAATAATAACATATTTATCAATCAATTGTTGACAACTTAACTATTTATCTCTAAACTATTAGTAATCGATGCAAACATGAAAAAACACTGCATCAATTTGTTATTTGTAAAATGTTATATGTAATTGAACTTTCCATAGCCTCTGATATATCTTTTATAAACACAAATGATTTTAGTGCTTAATTGATGGTTGCACTAGGACTTGCCTGAAGTGAAATGAGATGTTCAAAGAAAAGTTTTCCTTAGAAAGAAATGTTCTTCATTAAGTTTGCATTCAGATCATTGCAGAATAAGCAGGAAATCGAATAAAGACCTTTGAAAGTAACCATTATTAATGGTTTTAGTAGCAATCGAAATATGAAACATTATTTAGGAATTTAAATGCAGATTTGTAAATAAATACGAAAATAACCGTTAATTTAGCGATTTTTTTGATTTATTACAATACCCTGACTTTTTATTAATTAATTGACAACTTCTTCAGTTAATTAAATCGGTAAATGTACAATTAAATAATTATTGGTCATCGAATGAACCGATTAAGTTTGTGGCGTATTTTGAAAACGTAGCGATTATTTAATTATTTCCATTGTTTCCATCCATTTGGCTGTGTCTTTATAGTTTTCTCAGAAATTATAATAGATAGAATAGATCAAAAAGTTGAATATGAAAGTTTTATATTTATGGAATGCAAATTGTATTTAAATATCGAAAATCGTTACGTAATGAACTTTAATAATAATAATTATTATTGCAATTAATATTTATTATTGTCTGGAAAACTTATTATAATTCACATAACTCTATTATTTACTAAGAGCAAACAGCAAATGTTTGTACGTTTGAACAGTCTAATTCTGTCAATCAATATAGAGTTTATCCGAGCATTGAGTGAGTCTTCGTGTGTATTGATGGACGGATTAATGGGCTTTCATACTAAATTATACAACTCAACACGCACGTCCGTCTGCACGGTTAGCTAATGGAAACCCGAGGAATAACAATTTACTAAAAAAAAAGTATGTAAAAAAAAACGCGATTCGGGTCAGTTGCGACCTCCAAAGGTTTCCTTCCACCGCAACTCACCGTTCACTTTCCAAAACCTGATCCGGCAGTTCTCATCTGACTTCAACACGAATACTTCTATAACGTAAGAAATAATCTATATTTTTTATATATCAAATATTTCATATTCTTATTTGATTATTATCTAATAAACTATTTCAATTAAACTAAAGAAAAAAACTATACAAATATATTTTTATTTACATATTGAAGCATTCTCAATTGATAAAATTACAAAAAATAATTGTTTTCAGGTAAATTATTACAGAATTCATGTAATTTTTTTGTGTTACAATTCGTGAAGTTATGCATTTTATCTTATTTAATTTAGATTGGAACGTTAAATTTACTTATTATTTATTTCTATTTTAAAACACATTAAACAACAATAATATTACATAATTGTTAAGATGAAAAAAATAAAAAGTAAATGCAATAAAATAAATTTAAATTACAAATATTTCTGTTATAAATCAGTAGAATTTAACCTTGATCTTGTATATTTACTTCACATTCACAACGTTCTTGTCTTAAACTTCATTTAAATTATTTTTTCTTATAACACGTCCTTTTTTGTCCAGTTTAATTAAGTGAACAATTCATTTTTTTAATTATAAAAATATATGAAATTATTGTTTATTCAATTTATTTATGTAATTTTATTACTTTCATAATTATTTGTTGATTCTTCAAATCATTGAATTTTAATATTCATATTCTTATATTCTTCATATTCTTATTTGATTATTATCTAATAAACAAATAAACTAAAACAAATATATTTTTATTTATATATTGAAACATTCTTAATTGATAACATTACAAAACATAATTGTTTTCAGTTAAATTATTACATTACATTTTTAATTCATTTAATTTTTTTGTGTTAAAATTCGTGAAGTTATGTATTTTATCTTATTTAATTTAGATTGGAACGTTAAATTTACTTATTATTTATTTCTATTTTAAAACATTTTAAACAACAAAAATGTTATACAATTGTTAAAATGAAAAAAAAAATAAATGCATTAAAATAAATTTAAATTACAAATACTTAATAATAAATTAATTCTTGTATAAATCATTAGAATTTAACCTTGATCTTGTATATTTACTTCACATTCACAACGTTATTGTCTTAAATATCATTATTTTTTGTAGTAATGCGTCATTCTTTGTCCATTAAGTCAATTATTTTAATTTTTTGACCATTTCAAAATTATTGTTATTAAATTTATTTATGTAATTTTATTAACTTTGTTAATTCTTTAAATTATTGAATTTTTATTATTTAGCAAAAATTAAGTTAAAAAATTGAGTGTAGATCAATGAAATTTGTGTGCAATGAATGGAATATTCGATAAAAGAAAAGTAATGAATAATAATTTATCTGTAAATATTAAAGAGAAACGATAAATGGTTTTTATATTAAAATCGTGTCGAGAATACGTCGAGCGGATTGTTAGAAATCGAAATTAATGAAATGTAAATGGTTCAAGTTCATCAGTTTTCGCGTTTCTGTCCGGCTCTCATTGTTCTTCTTGTTGTTGCTGTTATTAATAACTGGAAATTTCTGGCGCGCAGATGTCTCTGAAGCTGTACTCCGTTTCGGATGGGCCTCCATCTCTCGCCGTGAGACAAGGGTTGAAAGCCCTCGGCGTCGATTACACCCTGATCAACGTGGACTTCGGCCTCGGCGAGCACATGACAGATGAATATGCAAAGGTATGCAATGCTGAAATCACCATACAATTCTTTGATTTTCTTATAAAACTGTTGTACAGATGAACCCTCAGAAGGAAATCCCAGTTTTGGACGATGACGGATTCATGCTCAGCGAGAGGTAAAAAGATTCAAAGAATTTGCAGAGAGATTCCCAAGGTTTCGCTCTTCTTTTGATCATTGTTGCGAAATGGAGTTTTGTGTCTTGCTGTTTGCATACGAGGATTGCATAATTTTCTTTTGTAGCAATGCGATACTGCAGTACTTGGCGGATAAATACGGGAAGGATGATAAATTGTACCCGAAGGATCCGAAGGCGAGGGCCGTTGTTAACCAGAGGTTGTGCTTCAATATGTCCACCTACTACAGGAGCATCTCCGAGCACGTTGTAAGTTCTTTAATTAGTTTACCCGGGCGTTCGATGGACGTGTTAACATCTGAACTTCGGTCAATATATGATCGAATCCAAACTCCTCTGCATCGAAATGTCAATATCGGCGAACGGACAGTAATTACATTGTCAAACAACTCGTGAAGTTATCATATTGAGCGGATTAGTCTTTCATCTCATATAAATCAAGTTTTGTTATTTGAAACCAATTGAATTTCAATGTAATTCATTTACACAATATATAAAACATTGAAATTTAATTATATAAAGTACTTGAACGGATTTTTTCAATGAATTTAATTGATTTATGTTAATCAACATTTCATCAATTATTAGAAAATTTACATATTTCAATACGAAATTATTAGCAATAATTATTTGAGAATAACAAAACTATTAAAAAAAATAAATTGAAGTATAGTGGAACCTCGCTTAATCCCAGTTTAATCCGTTCCAAAATTTCTGGATTTTTACTCATATCTGCACACAAGTTTTAAAAATGTTGCACAATTGGGGACTACTCTTCTCATCGTCATTCGTTAAGCGAAATTCCACTGTATTTAATATGTATTATACATGTGAATATTGAATTTTCAAGGATCAAATTATTGAAAAAATTATATAAAAACTGTGAGTATTTACATTAGTCTTTCATCTCATATAAATCAGGTTTTGTTATTGGAATCCAATTGAATTCCAATGTAATTCATTTTACAATATATAAAACATTGAAATTTAATTATATCAAAGACTTGAACGGATTTTTTC